AAAAATCCTGTCTCAATAACAAAAGAAGGAGGAGGAAGGAGGGAGGGAGAAAAGAAGGAGAAGGGAAGAGGAAGGAAGGAAGAAGGATGAAAGAAGGAAGGAAAGGAAGAAAGGAAGAAAGGAAGGAAAAGAGTTAGTTAGTTATAGCCCAGCCCCTGATTCCAACTGCTCTCTGGTTCTGGTCCACAGTGACATGAGGTGGCCCTGTCGCATGCTCCCACAGCCAGCAACTCTGCCATGCCCTCCCTGCCACGATGGACTACTCCATCAAAATAAGGCCTTTCTCCCCAAGCCGGGCAGGGTGGGCAGGGTGGCACATGCCTGTGATCCCAGCACTCTGGGAGGCAGAAGCAGGCGGACCTCTGTAAGTTTGAGGCCAGTATGGTCTACAAAGTGAGTCCAGGACAGCCAAGGCTACACAGAGAAACCCTGTCTTGAAACCCACCCCACCCCCCAAAAAGTGTTTTTTTTTTCTGTTGGTTCGCAAATTCATCTATGCCTATACAGTCACTGAAACGGGAAAGAAGCAGGTCCCGATGTCCCCATCAAGCCCGCGCTGGAAAGTGACGAGAGAGGCTGTGCTGACTTTGATGCGCAGTCACTTTTACAGAGACGGTCACCCACACAGAGGCGGGAGGACTCTGCCACTCTAAAGTCCTTCTTGAAGATTCCTTCCCTGTTTGTTTCAGAGCCAGAGGAGAGAAGTCACCGTGCCCTAAGCACACTAACCCCTCAAAGTGACCTGGGCCTCAGGGCTGAGCAAATGTCCTCACTCTGGCTATGCATTGAGTATCATGCCCAGAATTTTCTGAAAGAGCAATCTAGCCAGCTTATGTTCCAAATATTTCTAGAGGAAGGACTTGACTTTCAATCTGACAGGACATTGGTAACTTACCAGTTAGGCTGTATGTGAGCTTCCAGGGGACTGAGGCATTGTGGGACCCAGTAAAGAGGAAGTCAGACTCAGCCGCTATCAGGAGAACAAATTATTCCCCAGTTCAACCATTGTTATGTATGTCAAACCATACCTCGTGGTGGTGATTTGAATGAAAATGACCCCCACAGGCCCATGGGGAGTGGCACTATTAGTGGCCTTGTTGGAAGAAGTGTTTCACTGGGGCTTTGGGCTTTTGGAAGCCCCAAGCCAATTCTCTCCCGGCTGTCTGTGGATCAAGACGTAGAACTCTGAGCTCCGTCTCCGGCACTGCATGCGACCATGTTTCCCCACATTATTGGCATATAATGAACTAAACCTCTCAACTGTAGCCAGGAGCGATTAAATATTGTCTTTATAAGATTGTGGTGGTCACGGTGTCTCTTCACAGAGATAGAAACCCTAATGAAGACACTGGTGCATGCTGGGTGTCCAGTGGATAGCTGTTAAATAGATGAGAGAATGAGAGAATGCATGAATGAATGAATGAATGAATGAATGTGACAGAGCCAACAATCCCTCTCTGGAGATGTGTCAAGTCTTTGGGCTTGAGCTACCTGGGAAGGCCAACTCGCCCTGACCCTGTGACCCATAGGAGACAACTTTGGATTCAGCTTTGGAAGGCTACAGAAGCTGAAGGCTCAAAAGTTCGTGCATTCAGCACTTCCACGGCCGACTCCGCCCCAGAGAAAGCCTCACACCTGTGCATAAACGCCTGGATATGCGGGTATCCACGCCAGCGCTGTCCTCCACCGGGGAAAACCTGCGCCACCACCCTCACCTCTCAGAAGGGGAGCCATTTAACTGCACTTGACGCGTGTCCAAATCAGCGCACAACGGATCGAATGAGCACCGCCATCTTCGTCTACACTTAGACCAATAACTTTACTCCCCATATGAACTAGAACTCTTAAAGAACAGAAGCAGATTACACTATCATCCCACTTGTGGGAAACGTAAAGGCATGCACAAAAAGGCCGACATATAGACAGGGAGAGCAAGCATTCTGGGAAATGACATCACCGGTGTTTATTCTTGGGAAGGGAAAGCAGCAGGAATAAGGGAGAGAGGGGAATGAATTGTAACAAAGAGCACTTTTCTTTCTTCAGAGGAAAAGAGTAAGAGCTGGAGAGCGGGCTAAGCACTTCAGAGCACTTCTTACTCCTGCAGAGGGACCCGAGTTCGGATCCCAGCACCTACATCAAACGGTCCAGAGCCCCCCCGTAACTCCAGCTCAAGGAGATCTAAAGCCCTGTTCTGGCCTCTATGGATATGCAAGCACATGCTGAACATATTCACAAAGACAAACACACGTACACAGCAACAACAACAAAAAAATTAAAGTATTTTAAAGAACCTCGAAAGAAAGCATAAAAGCCAAAATAAGCAGCTGTCAGTATTAACACTATAGAAACGGGTGTTCGGAGAGTGGCTGCATTATCTTCTTCAGTCTTTGCTATTTATGCACCAAGTAAATGCCAGCTATGCACTAAACACTGATTTAGGTTCAGGAGACACCGTGGTCATCCAGACAGACAAACCCTCCTGCCCAAACGGAGCTTATGTGCGCAGCGTTTCAAACACAAATCATCTCTCCCTCTCCTTCCCTTTTAAGAGACAGGGTCTCACTGCATTGCCCAGGCTGGCCCTTCACTGGGCTCAAGCAGTCCTCCTGCCTCAGTCTCCAGAGTAGCAAAGACTACAGACGTGCCAGGTTTCTTCTCTTTAATTAAACAAACAAACAAACAAACAAATGTTATCTTCAATGGCCAAGGAAGACAAGAAAGCAACCTGCCTTTCTCTTGTTCCTGCCAAGCATGCTTTCTCTTCCCCAGAACTTCTCAGATTTTTTAATCCTGTGCATTCCTGTGTGTTTTGTTCGTTTGTCTTTCTTTGCTTCCAGTGTTTTCCTTTTGTGGTTTCGGAAGACAGTATTTCGCAAAGCCTAGACTGACCTCAAACTCTCTGGGGCTGACCTTGAACTCCTGATGCTGGGATTACAGAGATATGTCGCCTTGCTTGGCTCTTGTTTTCTTCTTTGAGACAGGGTGCTACTGTGTGGCTCATAGTCCTCCTGCCTCAGCTTTCCTCCTACTGGACAATAATGTAGGCGGGGGGTGCCCCTGGAACACAGCAGCTCTCTCCCTCCAGCAGGACCTAACCTCCAGTCCCTGTACCTTGGCTATCACCATCTGAAGGCAGAGTCCCTACCACCCTGTGCAAGACAGATGGCTCAGTTGGTAAAGGGCTTGCTGTGTAGGCACGAGGTTCTGAGTTTGGATCTCCAGCAACCAGGTAAAAAGCTGGGCAGTGCTACACATCTGTAATCTCATTACTGGGGAGGTGGAGAAGGGTCCCTGGGTTTGTTGCTGGGGAAGACACCCAACTTCAATCCCTGGGTTCTGCATACACATAAACAGATGCAGGCATGTACACACACACACACACACACACACACACACACACACACACACGAAAGAGCAAAGGAAAACCCACCACCCTCTATACTGTCTCTCTGTCCTAACACCCTCCCCACCATTCATTCCTGAAGACCCTGTTGATCACCTTAGTCTTGTTCCCATAGCACCTGCCATTGCCAGGTGTATGTCGCCATGCCCACCCACACTACAGCCTTCCCCTCCAGGACACCCCTGAACAACAGACCTGTCTATATCAGCCATACCCTGCATGGTCTTGCCATCCCCCAGGACTGCCCTCCTAGGAAATATTTTACCTCCCCCCTTCCTCTCTGACCTCGGCCTTCTCTTCCATCTCTACAGCTCCACCACCTTGCAACCTCAAAGAGACCCCCAACCTTCACCTGGATTTTCTCCCTGCCTCTTTGCTTCCTGCTGTTATGGGCCTGGAGGTCACGCTGACCAAAGTCAGTCTCTGGCTTCCTTCAGGGATCCACCCACATCTCGGGCCTGGACCAAAGCCACGTTCCTCTTCCTCTCTGCCTAGGGACTGAGTCATCCCACGCTGAGAAACCAGTGCCTGCCATGGGCTATCTGGGTCCATGTTTACGAGACTCTCCCCTTCACCGACTGGCCAAGCTTCACTTCTGACCCCCTGCTCAAGCCTTGACCCCTAAATCCCAGGAGAGAAATGCTTGCCTTTACTCAGATTTCCCAGTGTATCTGCCTGACCTCCCAGCATGCCCAGCCTTGCCTGCAGCCCAGCCCATGAGCATCTCCTTCCCCCACAGAAGATGTCCTCCCTACTGTTGTGCCCACTCCCTCTGCTAGAGCCAACACCAGCCTGTCCCCAACCCCTACCCCTGCTTAGGGTGGAAACTTGGGTGCCCCACAATGTCCAGCTCCATCCCAAACATCTCAGCATTCGGTGCCTCTCAGCAACCCTAGCTCTAACTACCATGGGGTGTCTAACTGGTCTCTGAAAACCCTTCCTGTGATCCTCCAAGTGGCTGCCAGGGACGGGGCTCCTAAACCCCTGTGTGGCTGTCCCTTCCTGCCTAAAACGTACAAAGCTTGCTTGATACCCGAGGGATGATGTCTGAGCCACCAGGCGCAATCCCCAGTGCCCTCCACAGCCGGCCACCACCTTCACAGCTCACCCTCCTTGTCTCGTGCCTGAGGCTCCAGCATCACAGTTCCATCTACCTCTCACTTTGGTGTTGCTGCCCAAGCCCTTCCCCTGGCCCGCCCCTCTCTGCATCTTCCACACTCACACTAGCCTCCTTTCCCCCCAGAGGCTCAGGTAGGCGCCTGTCCCCTGTGCCCCCAAGCATGTGTGCATCTACTCCTGAAATGCCACCACAACACGCTTATAAATTTCTCTTTTACTGAGCCTGCCTCCCGCCTGACACAGACCTAAAGGCAGAGAAGTGGGCGGGACCAATCTGGAGATTCCACCACACCGGCATGCTTTTCTCTCAGCCAGATGGCCAGCCAGCCTCAGGGGACACCCCTCTACCTGCTCCCGCAGGTTGGCCACCCAGGCTTGGTACCCTTCCACACCCTTTCAGGTGGTTTCTTCTGCCACATGCTCCATCCGCAGGGTCCCCTGAGGTTCCCAGGAACCACCTCCCCAATACACACCGTACCTTGGCCAGGGATCTGACTATGGGACTTTCCATAATGCCTCGAAGGAAGATCAGGTCCAGTTCCGCAGCCCCCGTGGCATTGGGGAGGGATCCCAGGTTGTCCAAGACTTGCTGCATGGCTGGGGGGGGGGGGCAGTGAGATGCTGAGTAGCAGCTGGGCACAGAAGACCAAAATTCCAGCACAGACCCTCCCATGCCCAGCCCTGCCCATGTCCTCCACAGCACTTCCTACTCCCCTCTCACAAACACCCAGGCCCTGGTATGCCGTAGTTCGGGATCCTAGAGGCAGGTGGCAGTTTTCTTGATCTGGCTTTTTTTTGTTTTCCCCACCCTAGGCAATGCCATCCTGGAAAAGGGAGGAGGCTGCCAGGAGCAGGAATCAGACCAAGGAACAGGGGAAGGTGTCCCATTCCAGACATACTCCTCGGTCTCTAGATGAATCGAAGTCAGAGCACTTGGCCACCTGTAGCTGGGAGCATGTCCCTGAGTCCAAGAAGGCAGCGACGCAGAAGGCCAAGACCATTGCAGCACCAGGCCAGGCGACAGAGCACTAGTTCGTGTGATACCGTGCAATTGACTGTCCCTAGACTCAGTTTACCCTCCGCTCTGACAGGCACCACTCTTTAGAAATTAATGCACAATAAAAAGCCAAAACTGCCCTCCCCCTGAGGGGGGAGCATTCTTACCAGGCCACAGAAGAAGACAATGCAGCCACTTTTGATGAGAACTGATAGACTAAGATCAGAAAGGAGAGGAGGACCTCCCCTCTCAGTGGACTTGGGGAGGGGCATGCATGCAGAAAGGGGAGGGAGGGTGGGATCGGGAGGGGAGGAGGAAGGGGTTTATGGGGGGATACAAAATGAATAAAGTGTAATTAATAAAAAAAAAAAAAAGCCAAAACTGGTGGGGTGGTAGAGGCACACTCCCTTAATCTCAGTGGGTGGATCTCTGAGTTTGAGGCCAGCCTGGTCTACAGTGAGTTCCAGGATAACCAGGGCTACACAGAGAAACCCTGTCTTGAAAAACAAACATGCGAAGTTAAAACTGAGGCCTGGAATATTAGCAGGGGCTGGAGAAGCAAGCACCCCGGGTGCTGGTCCTGGGATGGCCGCGGAGACCAAGGGCAGGGGTGGGAAGGCACCTCACCCCAGAGGGAGCACTCTCGACCTGGGACACGGGGCGGGGCGGAGGCTGCCTCCACTCCGCGGTTGAGATGGGAGGGAGCTCCAGCGGGTGGGAAGAAGGAAAAGAAGCAGTGTGCCCATCTGGGAGCAAAGATGGGCAGGGGGTATCATTACTCTGCCACCCACACCTACATCTGCGTAACAACGTCCAAACCCTAGAGAAGGGGGTGGGGAGACAGGCTCCCTGGAACCTCTCAACACTTGTCAGTGCTCCCCTCCTCCAAAGAGTGAGAGGGGGGCAGGAGGGGGACCCTAAAACTGGAGCTTGGAGAGGATGGCTTACGGGCTCCTGAGCCCCCATTTCTTTCCCACTCCCCCGCCTCACCTTCTCCGTAATCAGCAGCTGAGCCTGCCTCTAGACCCTTCGTCTAGGCCTGGGCGTTGCAAGGACCAGGAGACTTACAAGGTCCTTCTTGGGCTCTCAAGGGAACCAAGTGAGATGCCCTTCCCAGTCTGCCAAACGTCCACAGCTCCCGGTCCTGCTCACTGGCTCCCCAGACAACCAGCTAATGGGGTTGGGGCCTGAGTCGGGGTGGTGGTGCCCTCTACCAGATCAGTTCTTCTGGCAGGCTGGGCGCCCAGATCTCCCCTAAGGGCGCCCTTGCCAGAGCCTACTGTGGGAGGGTCAGTTAAAGGGTGAGCACCCCTCCCCTGGCTCTCCACCCCACCTCTTCCTACCTTCCCTGCGGAGCTCTGCTTCTTCAGAGGAGCCCAGGGAAATCCCCTCCAAGGAAGCCCCACTGCCTGGGCTGCAGGCCATGGCGACCCCTGGGCAATCCTAGAACAGTCTCCGGCGAGGTCGGCGCCTTCCCGGCTAGACGCGGGCTGAGCTAAAGAAGGCGGGACTCTCGGAGAGCTGCGGGCTCAGCCAATAGCAAGGCTCCGCCTCCCAGACCGCCCTGTGGATTGGCCAAAGCCCGCCTGCTGGTGAGGAGGGGGCGGTAACGGGTGGGAGGAGGGCGGTGGCAGGAGAGAGTCAGTCTAAACTGGCCAGGGTCCTGTCACTTAACACCGGTGCAGGCAGGGAGGTGGCGATGAGGTCGGGCTGAGGGACCTCCCTCTCAGCCTGTGCGGAAATCTCAGGTGGCGGGCAGAGTTTGGCTCCCACCTTGCCTCTGTACCGCTTTTTTATGGATGTCCCTTCTCCAGCACCTCGGATGCCTGCTGACCTCTACCCTCCCCTCCTCCCACCCCCTTCCTGGGCCGGGCCCTCTGACAACCACCGTCCTCTTCTCCACTCCAGGCTGGTTTCTTTACAATAACCCTCTCAACCGAAGAAAACCCTCATGAACAGCTCTACGCCCTCTCCCTGGCAGGTGCAGGAAGACAGCAATACCATCTTGACAAGAGGCAAACGTCTTAACTCGATACGCTATCCGCTGGAGCACAGTGGGGGCAGGGGAGGGGGAGAAAGACAGAATGGTGGTACCCGCGGGGCGGTAAAAGGCACAGCTCTCGAACCCATCTTAACAGTAGCTTCTCCCTTTTCCCCTCATTATCCATCTGGTGAGGGGTAATGCCCTGGAACAAGCCGGGCATCTTGGAACAGGGGGAGGAGAAAGGCGAGAGTCCATTTATGCAGCAGAAAAGGCCTTGGTAGCTGCCCTGTATGTCCCCATGAGGCCACTACTAGGGCTCTGCTGCAGCTTTCGCCGAGGCCACCTCTCATCAGCCATTCCCAGAGGAGTGGCACCAGGTCCCCTTGCACCCCTGGTTGCCATGGGAGCAGGCAGGGATTACACACCAGGACAGTAACCCAGGGGGATGGCAGAGATATTTTAAAGGGACAGCTCCATCAGAAAGGAGACCCACAGCCCCACCTGGATTCAAGCAAAAGAGGGAGCGAGCTAGCATGGTGAAGAAAGAAGAGACGATGGGCTGTAAGTGAGCAGAGGACATCTGAATTCCCAGCCTGTGTGTGACATCACTCACGTAGCTCCCAAACTTTCCTCAACTGAAGTAACGGTGAGCCCTCCCATAAGAACAAGGACGCTCTTAATCCATGGGGAAGGGATGCGGAAGAAACATGCTAGCTTTCACCTTTGCAGAGCAGAAGTGTCCCGGGGAAAAGGGGAGGGGGTTAAGGAGGGTGAGGACCCTGACCTCAGATGAGGGTCACAGCTGTCTCTTTCACACACACCCACGGGAAGTATAATGGCCACCGCATGATAAGGGAAAGTAAGCAGCAGGAAGAGAGAGCCACTTGGGCCTGGCTTGAGCACTTGAAACCTCAAACCAACCCCAGTGACACACTTCCTCCACCAAGGCCACACCTACTCCAACAAGCCCCACCCCCATAGCCTACCGTGGCCGTTTTCATTCAAACCAGCACAGGCAGGATGCACAGTTAGATTCTGAAGCTGAGGGCTGGCTCAAGAAAGGGGGCACATGGTATTTCTTTCTTTGGATAGAGAAGCGAAGAGCAGCCCACAGCACTGCATCTAGGGGAACAGGGTCCCAGGAGGAGTTTGAAAAAAGCAGGTCACACACAGAGGCATAGGGCTCCCTGCCATATGCGCCCCCACCAAGAGGCCTGCAGCTGGGAAGTTCCTCCCTGTGCTGCAGTCACTATTAATAGGTTTACTGGGCAGCCCCAGATGAGAAGCTTTAACTACAGGCTCAGGGATGGGTCTCATTAACTCCTAAGCAGCTTAGAGTGGGGGACCTGGCCAGTGAGGGGGGGAGCCCAGGGGGGCGAGAGAATGGGGGACATTCCTTGGCATGGAAAAGGAGCCTTTCGTGGGGAACAAAGGGGTCACAGCAATTTCCGTTTTCTCAGAGGGTAGGGACGAGCATTCTTTCTACCCAAAGTGAGGACCTGGAATGTCTTGCAGAGGGAACAGCAGGTTCTGTCCTGAAGAATTCAGACCTCTCAGGGCGTCTCCTGGCTGTAGCCAGAGCCCTTTGAGAGCCTTCTGACACGGACCCTAACCTGTAGGGTCTCAGGAAACACTCAAGGGTTCAGAAACCCTGGGGTCAGATGTAGACTTTGGGGCATAGATGCGGGGTGTGTGTCTGTGGTGGAGGCCCAAAGCTGTCATCAGAGTCTGGGAGATCTAGGAACAAAGTGAAAAATATCAATCCCACACTGCCACCCCTTCTCAGAGGAAACCAGTCCTCAAAGGGAGATGACTGACTCACAGGTCAATGCCATAACAACACAGAAGAAGCGGCGGCAACAGAATGACTGTGAAAACTCCTCACAGCAGCAAGCTCTCCCCTCTCAGAGCCTCCAAGGGCCACATGGACTCTTTCAGGAGTTCGGGCTAGGAGGTTCCCAGCCGGTTTGTGGGCTTTTGAGCCTGCCTGTGTAGTCCACTCTCAGGCTGTAACACCTACAGATCTGTGTGCACACGTCCAAACCTGGGCGTTCTTTGTCTTCGCTTACTCCTGCTAAAGTGCCCCCTACTGGCCTCCAGTGTAGGCAAAATGCGACATGGATTCTCAGTCCCTCCAAGGTGTACTACCCTCCCAGTCCCAGGTCCTGGGCACATCCCCGGGGGCACTTCCCTGCCATTCCTGTCCGGCGACAGCATCCACCATCTCTGGCCCTCAGGTGGGTGAATGGTGTTACAGGTCCAGCGCTACCTGGAGTGAGCTCAGGTCTCCCTCTGCTCTCTCCAACCCCAGGGAGGGGCCCGCCTGAACGAAGGGCTGAGTGGCTGCTTGTGGCATGACAGGGGAGGGGCGCAGAAGTGCCCAGCGATACTGCTGCACCCGCCCCTCCTGCTGACCCAGCCCCCTCAGAACCCCTGGGGCAGGCTGACAGCTTTAACCTCTTCTTACCGGACTCAGAGTTCGTGGCGGCAACTGGCATGGTGAATGAGGTCAGTGAGGACTCTGACGTCAGTCTCCTAGAGGAAGAGAGAGGAGGGTGAGAAGGTACAAGGCAGAGCCAAGAACATGAGAGACTTGGAAGGGTATCCTCTTCAGGAACAGCCACAAGGTAGGAAGAGAGCATCGCTCAGAAACGGGAACGTGGATTACAGGAGTGACCCCAAGCGCCCTGGAAGGCAAGAAATGCAAACAGCATGGCCCTCATCAGAGGGGGAGATGGGAGGATCAGTTTCTCCAAGGCCCCAGAGCTGGTAGGAGAGCTACAGTGAAAACTTAGGCATTTGTGACCGGAAAAAAAAAAAAAAAAAGCATTTCTCTTTTTAATATTTTTGTTTGTTTGTTTTGTTTGTTTGGTTTTTCTATTTGTTTTGTTTTTCAAGACAGGGTTTCACCGTGTAGCCCTGGCTGTCCTGGAACTTGCCCTGTAGACCAGGCTGGCCTAGAATTCACAGATATTTGCTTGCCTCTGCTGGGATTAAAAGCCAACACCACCCAAAAAATAAGTACTTCTCATTGGGCATGATGATGCCCACCTGTGCTGTAGTACCAAACACTCGGGGCGGAAGGGTCCCCTGAGCCCGGCCTGGGAGGCATGTGGAGATGTCATCTCAAAACCAACAGCATATTCTTTCTGGTTCCTTCTTAAAGTGGAGGGAGAAGTAAGTGTGAATCCTGAATGTGAGCCAAAATCCGGAAGCATCCTGGGACTGTTAGTTCCGTGAGGACACAAATGGAGTCCATTACCGGCCTCTAGGCCTCAGGCCTAGAACCTTCTGGTGTCCCCAAAACACTGGCGTCTAGCTGACAGAAATGATGTTTCCTTTCCTGCTGTCCTGGCTTTTCTCTCTCTCCCCCTCTTGCCCAGAGTTGGGGCAGGGAAAAACGGGAGACTGCGGCCATAAGCAGGCATGGAGTCTGCAACCCCACCGCCCATGCCCATCCAAGATTAGCTCCTTCATCCTTTCTGGAAAGGAGAAGGGGCTAACCCACCGCTCTCTCCCCTTTCCTTCCTGGGCATGTGCTCCTGGATAAAACCCTAATTCCCTGGTTGCCATGACAACAGGAGGCAGTGGCTCACAGCAAGGGTGGGAGAGTAGGGAGAGGCAGCTGGCAGTGCCCACTTTAAGACTAAATGTCTTTTTCACCCCCCCCCAAGGGGGGGGGGGCCCCAAAGACCCCCCCCCCCCCCCCACCCCCCCCCCCCAAGAATCCAAAATTATTTTCGGAGGAGCAACTACTGGTTTTAATAAAAATATTCTCTTTCTCTCTCTCTCTCTCTCTCTCTCTCTCTCTCTCTCTCTCTCTTTCGCCTAGGCTAATGACAGCTCTGGAGGCAGAAATGACAAAGGTGAGAGGAACAGGATCCCTTTCCTCCTGGATCTTCTCCAGAAGAGTTGAACTTTCAGACAGAGGAGGGGAACCCCTTTCACAGTAACCTTCTCATAGCGTGGGTCCTGCTCCCTAATAGAGGTGCTTGCTGTGGGTTACTCTTTTCCCGAAGCGGGGGTGTGAGGGGTGGGGGGGGGCGGGGAGAGGAACCAGGGAGGATCCTCTATGAAACCCTAGGCCCAGGAGTCCTGCCCAGGGAGCCTGGGTTTGCTCCCTGAGGAGTTGGTTCCCACGGCGTCGGCTCGCCTCGCCCCACCCCCACCCAAGCCTGTGAGAGGGCGGGGCCGGCTGTGCCCATAGGAGAACGGCAGTGCCAGCCTGGTTCCATGCCAAGATCCCCGGGGCCCAGTCATCACGGAACCAGCACCTCAGCGTCAAAAAACCGAAGCCCAGGTGCCCTCCCACTCCCACCTCCACACGCAGGTTCGCGGCCACCAAGCTATCCAACCCCGCCCCCAGGGTGTCAGTAGGTGAAGCCCGCCAGCTTCAAAGGGGCAGGTCTCCTCCCGCCACCCACCCCTCCATCAGTGCAGACGCACTGATGAACGGGGACCGCCTGACAAAGGCGCTTTGGAGCCGGACAGGGTTATGGAGAGGACTGAACCTAACTCATGGCCTGAGGACGGGGTCTGGGGAGCCGGCGGACGTGCCCG